TAGACATAAAATTAATGATTAAAAGATTAAAAAATCTGCATTTGTGGATTATTTTAAAAATTACGAGGGAATAGAATAAAAAAAGGCTCAAATTAAATTGAAATTGACAATTAACTTGTCTCACTTACGAAGTTTCGCAGTATTATTGCGTAATATCACGAAAGAACAGAAAGAGACTGCGCTGAATCGGCTGTAACTTTGAGCAAAGACATTGCAGAATCTCGGAAATGAATATTTCTATAATTCGATTTCCATCGTTATTGATAAAAATGTGCACAGGCCCGGACTTACTGTTTTTATTGTACGAAATACATCTCGTCATTATATTTAAACAATAAACAACATTTAATTAAACAATCGGAGAACAAGTGTCCGTTAGACATAACTTTTGAATTTATGTCAACAACTTCGAGGAATTTTTCTGTAATCAAAGCGTTCGATGACAGGAAGAGCAACGAAATGTCGTCGTGATGAAATACGTTTCTGCGTAAAATTTTTCACGCATAGTTTCTGACAAAAAATGAGAAGATCCTTTGTTCTGTCAAAACGAACAATGAAGAACATTTTACACCGAATTTCTCCAAGTTTCGTCAGATAATAACAAGCGCGAAAGATCAAGAAAGCTATTATATTATATACAGGACGCGCTGCCATAGGAAGATCATTAAAAAAATTCGAGACGTAAAAAAGCTGCCACAACAAAAAAAATAACATTTAATGTGTATATAAAAACTGATTAGCTTATCACTTTACGGAATCAGTTGTGAGCAACGTCAATGGCAAACAATTACCAAAAATAACAACAAAGACAGTCAACACATTCTTGCGAACGAACAGAAACATTTTAAATATGTTCAACATCGTCTGATGTTAAAATCCCAAACAGCAATCTGTTTAACAGTTAATTTTTGCATACTCACAGTCGATTCCAACCTCAAGTGCCCAGATTTGTGTGTTCACGCTAGCCGGATACACCGTTACACTAGTACACACAGGTCGAATGAACAAATGCAATAAGTATAATACAACCAGTTGCGCGAAGGACAACGAAATTGTTCCGTACCAATCATCAGCGTTTAGTTGCCAAAGAAGAAGACTAGAATTAGTTTCTTTTTTTTCGGCAATCGCGAGATATTTCAACGAAATCGTTAGTGCCTGTTAAGCTTAGAGATTGCGGTACGCAACAGCATCATCGTCTTCGAGTACAGAATATTAAAAATCTACATAATATATCTATATAAAAAATACGCATCGAAACAATAGAGACGACAAGCGATATATTCACACTATACTATCATTAAAAAAAAAATTCGTCAGTACCTTTCTTTTCACATTAACAAAAACAAATATACGAAAAAAAATACGTAAAATAAACAGCTCATAAATAAACAATGACATCTATAGATAAAGAAAATATAACAAACAATTTTTTTCTCATCTCAATCCTACGTTTCGCCAGACGGATTTGGCTACTTGTTTCATAAATAACTTTTCCTCTTTTAACCAATACGTGGCGCTTATCGCGAAGAATAGGTCTAATTAATTTCAATTTTGCCAATAGATTCGCATTTGCTTACAAATAATACGATGTGATTTACGCTGAATATTTCACGCTCTCTCTCTCTCTCTCTCTCTCTCTCTCTCTCTGACATACATATACATACACACATGCGCGCACATTCTCTCTCTCTCTCTCTCTCTCTCTCTCTCTCTCTCTCTCTCATATCTTATGCCATCATTACTTTCGCACGTCCATGCAACCCTTTTTGTCCTCAAAAGCAAAATCTCTTCCACTACTCATACACGCACATTAAATGTTACTACATCGTTTAACCACTGTTTGAGCCACACTCTAGTGTTCGTTCTATATTTATTAATTCGGATAAGAGAAGTCCTCGCGCGGGGTTTGGGAAGTGGAGACTGGGATAGGGGTTTGCTTCAATAAATATTTTTGCTTTAATGTCGAAGAACCGGCCGTGGCCACGCGAATTCAAGAAAGACATGTACGCGAGTTTGGCAAGTCGGGCAATGTTGTACTACTAACATATTATGTGTTTCCTTTTTTTTTTAACGTTCCAGTTAACTATACCTAGTCGGTACTATCAATTCGATATAGTACACATCTACGATAATGGTAAGATTAGAGCGAGTATATAAATGGCAGAGAGGTAGAAGCGGAAAGGAAAAGGAATGAGGAGGAGGAGGAGGAGGAGGACAGATCGAAGGAACAAGGAGAAAAGGGAAGAGGATGGGAAAGCATTATGAACGTTATATGATATGATTATGCGTCAGTTATTTGGAATAATATTCTATAACCATATAGAGAGTTGCTGCAGCTAGCTTAGATATAAGCCAAGAGAAAGCTTCATATGTGGACGGCGCCCGCACAATTTTTACTCTAAAATTTCCGCCTTATATCTCTGCACTCTTCCGATCCATGCGAAAGATTCGAGAAGGGATCTCATTGATTAGGATACATCGGATGCAGACTAATTCGTGTAATTTAGAAAATCACGAATTAAATCCATGACAATATACTTTCTAAGAGTCTTATGTACCTGTAATGCCAATTTCCAAACAAGTCGATCGTTTTTTTTTCCTTTTTAAAGTTACTCGTATACCCATTGTAAAAATATAAAGCGAGCAGTTACAACGCTCGTCAAAATTCCACATCAACAATGTTTATAAGCGATCAACGAAGCAGCTCAAACGAAATTTCCTGGAACTTTTCCTCAGATAAAGTAATATAGTCACACAATAACTGATTATCGTCGTTAAGACAAGATTTGTGATTCGAGACTTTCTAGAAGAGAAATGCGTAATGGCGTAATGGCGTATAGAAGAGAAATCACTAATCCTCATCATCGATCCGTTTCTCAAGTCCAACACTATGGTCGATGTTTGACGTATGCGCGCAAAAAGTGGCGCGACTCCGTACGTCGATGTCATCCCCTTTATTCGCCACACACACCGCCTCGCTAAGAGTTAAGGACTTAATGTATATCGTAAATAGAAACTAACACGGCCGCCATAAATCTCATCGTCCCATACTGTACAAATTCTTCGGACTAAGTTTTAATAATAATTATTATTACGCATTACGTATATCTCTAATTTGTCGGACGTATTGGCGCCGCCATCGTCGCAGTACTTGCTGCTGCCACGTCGCTTAAAAATTAACGATGTCTGTATAGCAATAACATAAAAACATAACTAAGCAATAATAATGATAATAACTCATATTTAATAATAATAATATAATAAAACTAATGCTCGCACGTCCGCCTTGTAGAATCGAAAGCTACATGGTGGACCTGACAGGTAAATTTATAAAACAAAATAAAAATAATAATTAATAGGGATGATGATGATAATGATAATAATATAATAATAATAATAGTTCGTAAATAAAGTCATGTGTTTATAAAGCTTTTCTATAAATAGATACACTGATTCTCGGAGCTACCGCGTCACGTGCGTCCCTCTCATTTTTCGATTCCACGATATTACTTCTTTTTTTTGTTCCGTATACAATGAGCCGGAGTATGTTCAGGCGCGATCGTACTTCTCTTTTTTTTTTTTACATTCCGACAGAACAACCGAAAGATCCATGGGCTACGGCCACGAAATATACAATAATTACGTTGTGTACTCTTAACACGATAACAGATTACGTGGAGTGGAACCGATATACAAATATGTGTGTTGTGTTGTTCCATAATATTTTTTGTATATCTATATATGTAAGTCGAGTACAAGCACGAAATATGGCTCGACATATGTGATGATCATATCGATGTGCAATAAAAAAATATTATTTTTAGTTAAAATATTTCAAAAATTATAATGCAACTTTCCTTTCGTATATATGAATTAAACATTTAATGTACCTTCTACCGTAGATTTTGCAGATAAAACTAATGGAAAGATATAATTAAAAATGGGTCGAATCCTAATTGATTTATTACAATTTACACTTACATTTTATATATAAATTAGTAAATGTAATTAATCAATTAATTAAATTTAATTAATAGTTTCGTTAATCATTAATGACTATTATCTCCGAAATACATCGCTATTATCATTATGAAACGCACCATTATAGTGCCTTAGCAGGCTATATTATTTTTTTAATTTGAATAATAGTTTAAAATATATTCCGCGAATATTTTAATTAGATACGTTGTAATTACTGAGCACGTTGTAACATCCGTAAATGCGACCATATTTCTGCGAGTGCTCTCGTTACCTTATTGAAACCTAATTTCTGCAAAACTGTTTAATCTTACACACGCATATATTATGTTCTACTTCATCTTTTTTCATTTTGCACATTACATGTTAAAACACTATTACGATTACGGTATGTAAGTAGGTACTTCGCTATGTGAGGAGATACGTGAGTACATCATACGTGCAGACTCACACGCGCAGCTTAATCATTACATTACGTATGGGAATATTATTTATAGTATTATTTTTTTTTAGTTTAGATAAAATTAGCGGTAGAGTATTAATACGAATACGTTTTTTCTTTCAATTTATTTAAGTGTGCTTTTTTGCTTTGATTACGGACGTCTATTTGGAGCTGCTCACCGTTATTTATGCTATTTTCTCATTCAATTAGATTAACAAGGTATTTTTTTCCCCTCAGTTTACGTACTTGTTTAAATGTATCCTAAGATCTTACCGCACCAGAAAAAATTCTACCTTGATGCGCGATACAACAGATTTTCATTTTCTTTTGTCCATATATATAATATATACTTATTACTTTTAATAATATATAATATGGTATTGTGTACAATATGATTTTACGTCATTATAAATTAGGCGATCCATGCAATAGATTCTGATCTTGATCTGAAAAAACGTGATCTTCTTGCCAGATTTTACGTATTTTTCATTCATATAAATATATATTGATAAAATTTAATCTAAAGGTATATACATATACAATATGTATATACATATTTAGATTAAAATCTTATCTCTTTATAACAAATACAATATATTTTTTATTTTTCTTTGTAATAATTATGAAATCAATGAAAAATGAACACATTGTGTTGCTTAGCATTAAACAACATGTTTATTTTCAATTTTATAGCTATTAAATTAGGAGTAGCACTATATACCTCAGATAAAATTTGTTCAAGACTTTTATGATAAAGAATCAAGACCTATGCATCGATCGCGCTAATATGAAGGAGAAAAAAATAATTAGGCAATAATTTATATATCGGTTATTCCTTTTATGTTTATCTTTTCCTTTTTTTACGAACTCTAAGTAAGTAATACCAACAACGGGTTCTATATCTATGGAAAAGTCTACCCTGACACCAAATTACGTATTTAATGTACTAAGAGTGAGATACTCGTCCGGTAATGTGGTTCGTGTTTCTCGTACGTACATACGAGCGTGTATCCATGTGTAGCTTACTTTCTCCCGCGTTTGTTGCTCTTTTTTTTCATCAAAATTATTGTGTACACACGAACATTTACATGTATAATTTCCAATATACGGTTGAAAAGAAAATAATAATAAAAAAATGCGCTAATTATAATTCAAACGATTAATTGATTGAGTGTTACACAGAAATTATATTATGAAATTCAGCATGCAAAACATTTTATCCCAACTTTAGGTAAATGATTAAAGCATTCTCTCGAAATGATAAGTAGATTAACTGTATGTTACGTGTACATGTGTATATGTATAATTTTTTCTTGTTTATCGACACGGCAGGATAATCGAGACAATTACTAGTTGTCAGAATCTTGACAAAACGCGGTTGCCAAGCATATTGTACAGTTATTTACCATCTATATCACGCTTTCGAGAAACAATGTTCAGAAAGATATATTCTTGAGAAAACCAATGTTTATATACTCACGGCACGTTACCACGTTCTTCAATGTCTGAATATCGTTTATGTCTTTCCATCATACATCTATATTTCTTAAATTCTTCGACAAATTTCGCGAATTCAACAATATTTTATTGCTCACGATAGAATACTACTTTTACTCACGTTGGTAAAAAAATAAATACCCTAAACTTTTATTGTGTCTAAAATAATTTACTATATTTCGTTAACAAAAAGTTTTATTTCTTGCGATTTGTCTGAATTGACATATCGGAATGGCTGGAAAACATAAGCAATATGTTTTTCCTATATCCGTGAGTATAGGTTTTTTATGCGAAAATGTACCGAGCGTACCGAAAGAGTTGTTTTCAAGGAAAAAATTATTTTATCATATATACATTACATGTGCATTATTATATAATTTGTAAAATCAGATCTTTTCCTCCAAGAAAGTACAAATTTCTTTATAAAACCCATATGTAGATAAAACTTGCTATACCGCCAATGACTAATCTATTTGTTCGATAAATAGTTAAAAATTTCAACATACAAAATCGGCATAAATAACATTTAGCTAGTTCGTTTAAAAAGTGAACATAGTAAGCAAATATTGAATTATTTTATCGAATGAAGCGAGGAGGGGAAATGTAGGGGAAAATAGTCGTGTACGCCCGTTATTTATAATCGTAGACCGATATCTAGAAGGAGTTACCGGAAGTCCGCAATCGCGCGAGAGACACGTTCGTTGTTCCAACGAGAACGTCGCAAATTTTACGCCTTTTGTAATTTTGTTTAGCGATCGTGCAAAGGAAGCGTCCACGTAACGTCGAAGGTAAAACGTTCAACGTCGAAAATGATGAAACCGTTTTCTCGAAATTGCGTCACCGTATTTCTTCCTCCGGAACGGATGACGCTTCGTATAAGGTCTAGCTAATCAACGAAAATTCGCACAAAGCAAGATAAGTGATGAATCGAGGATTACCTAAACTCTTATTTCGTTCGCTGGTTTCTTGTAATTGAATGCCGCTTACGGTCCGCTTACGCAGTTTGATTACTTCCTTCTCTCAGAGTTCGATCAATTAATCGCAATGTCGTCGTTAATGATTCTGATTGGCCCATACGACCATTAATCCTTCAGTTTCGGCCCATTTAATTAATCTACTCACCGCCTCGACGTAATTATTGGCTCTCCATGGCAGTATCGCGCCAATTCGCACGTTCATCGCTTGATAATCGCGATGGCTCATTGTGTAGCACCCGATTAACAATATACATTATACGTTCTAGGAATCAGTCACAGGCTGAGCCCCGTGCGAGGCGGTTTCGCATGTCGCCCTTCGGGGACTAGCCAAGTAAGTACGTAGCTGGGGTGGGGTGCGTTCATTCTCTATGCTTCGAGTTTTTCTTTTTACTATCGTAACATCTACTTATCTTTCTTTCTTGCTTAAAAAAACAAAAGATAGAACCGATTCAGCAAGGCATTCATCGCGTACCTTTTCTCGGTTGCCCACAGAGAAGCTCGCGCTCTGTGTGTATCTTCCAGGCTGCCTAAATCTTCGCTATCTTCCCCCCTTGGTAAAAAAAAGGGCCGATGACCGCATCCACGCAAGGTCCTCTACTTGCGAGCACCGGCTCACCGACTCGAGGAAGATCACGAAAATCTTTGCATCAGATGCTTCGTACCTGTTTCTCGCGTGCGAAGATGAGAGGAAGAGAACTCAGGATCTTCTACGTGATCGACCTTACCAACTACTTCGCTTCGGAGTCTTCGTCCAGGCCGCTCCAGTCTCTTGTGTCTTCCTTAAAAGAAAGAGAGTCGGCTCAGTAAGGTATCCTATGTGGGTACCTTACTGACTGCCTTCAGAAGATCGCTTTGCGTTTTTTCCAGGCCGCTTACGTGATGCTGCTGCTGATGCTGTAGGGCGGCGCTCTGCTGCTCCTGCTGCAACTTGGCCTGTTTCTCCGCCTGCTGTTTCTTCATCATATCTTGCTCCTCGCGCTCGCGTCTGGCTTGCTCGTTGATTTCTTTGACCGCCCTTAATTCCTTTTTCAACTTCATTCGCCGATTCTGGAACCAGATCTTGATCTGTCGTTCCGTCAGGCAAAGTGCGTGCGCGATTTCTATTCGTCGTCGTCGCGTCAAATAGTGGTTGAAGTGAAATTCTTTTTCTAATTCCAATGTTTGGAACCGCGTGTACGTTTGCCGACCTCTGCGCCTCGGGCAGCCATTCGGACCTGAAAATGGCAAAAAATCTAATTTTTGAGATCACTCGATAGTCTCTAAACTCCTCTCGTCGTAACAAATTGTAACATTAATGTGTAAACAAGTTTATGCAAATATGAATTTAAAAATGTTCAAAATTATTTTTACTCTAAAAATTAACTTTTTCTTCGCATTAGTAAAACACTAAAATATGTTGAATTAAAAAACATAAATATATTAAAAGAACGAAATAGTATAAATATATTCCATATTTCTATAATAAGAAATTATGACGCATCTTAAATAATTTTTTTTATGGAGCGTAAAATCTATCTTACTAACAGCAACAATAATTCCAACTAACAGTAAGGATATTCTTCTCTGTTTCCAACTGATGATCTTAAATGGTCTTCACAGCCTATCACAAATTTTAACTCTCTCCTACCTTTCTCTCTCTCCGAAAAGAAAAAAATGTTCTTTGGACCTACCGCTTATTGTGAGGGTTAAAAAAGAATGAATAAAAATAGAAAGTTCTCAGGAAGCTCTCACGAAAGTTACTCACAACGAACCCTTTCTAGTGCTACTTCACTCGGTTAACTTTCTCCAAGAGAGTTGATGTCATAAACAAGGATACAGGCGACTTTAAATTTTTTTACGAGTTTTAAAGATACGAATCGAAACGTCGGGTGCGCAGGTAAAAAAAGTTTGCGCGATGTTACGGGACCTGCTTCGAAACAGTTTCTACGACAGCACGTGTTGCTTATAGTTAAATGACAGTAATAACAATTAAAATCAAATATAAAATAAATTTATTACAAATAAAAAATTGTGAGGTAAATTTAACTATGATACATCTAAATGGTCTCTTTATACATTTATAACGTCATTGCTGAATTTCGAATATATTTTCGTAATCAATTCAAAGGTAACTTCACTTTCAGTTGTCGCCACGGGCGACGAGCATCTCTTTTCTGAGGATCGCGAAGAAACCGGTTCTTTAGTGCAAAGAGTGGACAGCCATAATACCATCATTCGCGGAGCGACGCTGAGTGGCCATATTACTGCCTCGTGATGAAGCAAATGTGTGCTACTGACCAATAAAAGATAGCAAGACTTTTCTTTCCGATTATTTTACGAGAATACGAAGATTGTATCGACACGGTAAAAAGTGTCGAAAATTAATTATTAAATTGGTTAGAACTCGAAGGTGATACGTAGAACAATTAGTCACAGGTGCATTGAAAACTATACGTATAGGTACTATATTACATAAAAGCATTTCAGTTTTTATTTAATAACCACATAAAATAAAGATTTTTCTTTATTAAAATTTTACGATTTAATGAGCAAGGGTGTTTTACTGTCAAAAATTTAAAAACTTTGAAAAAAATATGTAATTTTATTTTTGTTAAAAATTGGACTTGCTTATAGATTTATAATCGAGAAGATCGTATTACTTGAAATATTGCACATCCATTTTCATGAATAGATAAAATCACAGCATGGCATAATGATACATTATAGAAGTCAGTATAATACTATTCATGAGATCATGAGGCTGATTAGCAAGCGATCACATATTACACTCAAGTTATGGGCAATTTACGTAAAATACAGATATAGCTGACGTGATTTGCTTACACCTTGCGGAATAGTAATATGTTGAGAAATCGGATTAACAAATGGCAAAGGGGGTATTACCCTACGACAGATTTAAGCCGTATTTTCTATCTTCCGTCATAACGATACTCGTGCTATAGCGATCGAGCGCTCAAATGACACGCACGTGCGCAATTCCCGATGCAGGATGACCCATCAAATACGTATCGCTCCGGGGCGAGCAGAAAACTCTTGGAGAATGCAGAGAATGCTGATATTGAATTCAGCATGGCCGTTCTCGCCAGCGCGGTCCACGAGCCCCGCGTCGGTGTACGCGTGTACCTGAATCAGCGACCACACTCACGAATTCCGCTTTTTACGTACGTGTGGTGGGACCGGCCGCGTCTGTATTAGTGCGAATCAACACCGTTTTTAGCGCGGCCGTGTGCGTCAGTTTGGCACACGTACGTCCGTTGCAGCCACGGGGTGGTTACCGAAGCCCGAAGGGTGGGACATAGGTTACCTTGGCAACCAGAGGGGAGATCATTCTATCCTCCTGGCGGCATATCACGCGGCGGCAAGCCTAGCACAGCAGCCAGAAAACTCTTGGTTGCATCCTCTCCACCGACCCTAGGAGGGCCCGTCACGTCGGTCTTAGAAGACGGGTGAACTTGATTGCGCCCACTCCATTCGCCATAAATATGGCCCATCGGCGAAGCGCTGGGTGTGCGAGCATTATCAATAATTTCGACAGAGAAAACTAATGCCGCTGTGCTAGAATTTATCCGGCGAGAATAAAGTTGCGCGCCGAGATGGAGGCCGAGATGGACCAGAAGCCGCGAAACAGATATTCGTTCGATGAGACTAACAAAAACTTTTGCTTTTCTAAAATAAAAATCCAAAATATCTTTAGAGAATAATATAGACGATAGTTAATGCAATTAACAATTTCCTTTACGTACATAAAGATATAAAAATTCAGAGACTTCTTTTTAAATATACGTTACCGTAAAAAGATAGAAACTCATGCATGGAATATTAAAGATAGATATCGTTTATCTGTGAAGTCTCGCAAAGTGTTAATTAGCGTTCTGTCGTAAATGATTCAGAGACAAATAAATTATAGTCAATTGCCAGTGGTCCATTGCCACTCTACAGAAGGGCGACACGATGGGACGCGCGCACAGAAATACGCCATTATGGATGGCACAGGCCTGTGTCTAATTACGGTCATATACTAAGTTTAATATCTGCTTTAGGTCTGCTTTAGCATGCAGCTCGGGGCTCGGGGAACAATCGTGGATATTGTGGAAGTTTGTCAGGCTATGTTCGCCAGTCTGTACCACTACGCATTCAGATTTGATCAAATCGACCTATGCAATTTTTTATATAACTACTCAAAGAACTCCTTACTTTGCATTAAAAAATAACGAATGTTTATATTTGATTAAATCTTTTCGATGTCGTTTCATTAGACAAGAAGAACTATACATGAAGAACTAAGATGTAATCATTGGCATTTTTTTCTATAAATAATCAGCAACTCGTGCTCTCTTAGATTTATTAAATTATATATTGAGCAGTCCATTCGATATTGCCAGATGCCCACAGATGCTTTCGCGTCTACGAAGCGACTCATTTAGCGCGATCAATATTATCATCACTATGTAAATGAATCAGTATTAAGTCTTAACACTGTAGCTTCATTCTTTCAATCGAAGCATCAAGTGCGAACTGAGAACGCGAATGTCTGTAACTTATTAATAAATCACGCACTAAAACTCTAAAATTTCATGTAGATTCCGAAGATTAGCTAGTCTTTAGACTATCCATTAATTTCACAATACAAAAAATTTCAGCATGACGACACGCGACAGTACGGCGTTTGAAAAAAATAATATACGCGATGCTGAAGAGACATATTAGACACATTAGACATATTTCGCACTGTACAATCTTGACAGCACCTGCAAATCGCGAACCCTCGCGTCTAGATATGTCGCGTTAGAGCCTAACCCCTCTTTGTTCGACCGCCGGAGGGACCATACGTGAGCCCCCTCAGCGATCCATTCATAAATATCTCAAAACGGCTTAATTTCGCGGCGCTGCGGGCAAATAAAATCTCGAGCCGGTGAAAAATGTAGACAGTTTGCCAGATGAAGGAGAACGGACGGGGGAGAGGAGTAGAGGGATGAGAGAGGAGATACGGCGTAGCCACGACCCACGACTCGCTTGATCGTTGTCTCGGGTCACTGCAGCCTCTGCCAGAACGATAGAGTTGGAGAGGACCGGGTAGGAGGCACGTTAAAGGAACGGGAGGGAAAAGAGGTAGAATGTGGAGGAAACAGCCGAGAGAACGAGAAAGAGTGAGGAGGGGGAAGGAGAATGGATGAGATATGTAAAGGAACGAGAGGGATGGAAAGTGCCAAGCAGGAAAAATGCCCACGATAACTCCGCCGTCCGTTCCGTCGCGATTCCAGCTCCGGGTGCGATTTATGCGGCTAATCCCCGCACTTTTCTTGCCCACGTCTCGTCCAGTCGCCAGGTATCTGGTTAGGCTGTATTTCAAGGCCGTTCGCCGATTAGTCAGCTATTCCAGACGGTAGATACACCGTTGTTCTATCTGACATTCATTAAACCGCCCTTCCCCGCGCCCCGGTTCGCGAGCCCCGGCGATGCTGTTGCCGATGGTCGCAGTTATCGGAAACATAAGTCGCGTGAAAAATTCCAAGTGGCTGGAATCTGGAAGATGCGACCGTGGAAGTTCGCGTTACTTATAGCGTTAACGCTCGCGAAATGTTACACGCGGGGAATTCACAGACTATGTTATAATTTCTATTCTGTAACCGATAACGCAAGGTTTTTTCTGGCGTGCAGCCATACGGGAAAGGTTATATCCTCGATTGCCAGACGGCTAGTACGTATCCGATACCACCGCGGGAAGTGCGCTATGTAAATTTTATGCGGGCTGCTGTTCGCAGGTAATTATTGTAAGCGGTACACGAAAGAGGCCCCGATTAAATCTACTCTAATTTAAAGACCAATTTAAATAAAACGCGTTTTGATCACGCTAGCTTTTGATACTTGTAATTGGGTAATTTTACAAATCGAATATGTTCCTTGTAAATTGCCAAAACGCTGCTTATTCGAGTGTATCAATGATACATTGCTTTTCCACTTGGAACGTTAATCTCTGTCGTTAATATATCATTACGAAGCACAGCAAGAGACTCAAGCGATTACCTAATCAGACCTCGGAACCAAATTAGTCGGTCATTAAGGAATATTATTTCTGCACTATAAATTTCGTCGTCAAATTACTCCTCTTAATATCCTGCTCTTTTTCGTACCCGGAAAAGCAATTAGAAATTTATATTTTGTTACGAGAAAGATTCTGTTGTTTTTATTCCGATTTATGAATCGGGATGACTAG